CCTAATAATATATTGACTATGTTTTTGATTTATTTTCTAGGGTATAGGCCTAAGAATGAGATAAAATCACCTGACCTTTTTTAAGAGGGGTAAAACCTTGAATTTTGAAGAAATTAAGGGTCATTAAAAGACACCTCAGAAGTCGGGAAAGCTCATTTTCCGGCCATCTAGGAATTTTCCCGGGGGTGTACCTCCTTTTCATTTTTGGGTTTATGGGAAAATGAACCCCACTCTTTCAAATCCTGGATCCGCCCCTGATAGTTGTTCTCAGTACAGTAGCCTATACAAAATCTCAACATTATTTGCTGTTAAATATCAGGAATAATCCATGTCTGTGGAAATTATTTCAATGCTTTGAAACCAAAATAGGAAATTGTTTAATAGAATTATGCATAAGATTAAGCATTTGTAGTGGGGATGTAGCTTGGTGGTCAATCCTTTCAATCCCAGGGTCCTGGGTTCAAATCCTGTATAACAGCACAGAATTTTTTCTCATAACTAAAAAACATCACTGATAAAAGCATCACATTATTTCAATTATTTAAGAGGGCCCCTGAATATGTCAACCTCTACAAATATATTTTCTAAAAAACACACACAAAAAAAACAAATGCCTCAAACCTAGAAATGTTGTTTCTGAAACAACAAAAATGAGCAACCTTGTTACTGTTACAAGCGGATATTTCTTATAGCTCATATACTGCAGTGGATGTTTGATATTCAATTCAGAGTTACACAAACAGTATATTCGATTATTGAGTACCGTAGTTCCTTGGGTATAGTCTTACCTCGAGTATAATTCCACTCCCACTTTACTTTATACCCAGGAAACTACGGTAATAGTTTAGGTTGACTGAGGTTATTTGTTGCTTCCCAGCTAATCACAATTTGCAGAGCTCAGATGTTCACATTGTCATACACGTGTATGAAATGAAGGCTCACAAATTTAATGATGTGAACAAGTGATTGGTACATTAGGCTAATGAAACATTAACTAAGACAAAGATACAGATAGTAAATACTGATATTTTTTGATTGATTACATTATTCAGCTAAATACAACTGTACATTAACCTGTAAACATGTCGCATCATACACAGCCATATGACATACCACATGGTATACAGTAAGAGTTAGCTGAGATATGGATTGGATGTTCTACAATTCAATAACTATTAATTATACTATATCTATCAATTATTATATGGTAACTGTAGGTTCTACAATCTACAAAATGAGTCAATATCAAAAACATAATTATATATAGGTATCCCAATGAAGCCATTTTGAGTGTATACAGTTTTCAAAAATTTGTGAGATTTGAAAAAATGACCTGACTTTGATGTTGAAAATATATTCATTGTGAACTTTTGCCAATAAAATTTATATATTTTGAAAAAGCATATGTTACAGTACAGACACAAATTACTGCTTCGTATCTGCGCGTAACCTCTCGTAATCTGCTCGTAGGTACGTTTTGAACGTAGCTACGAACCACTACGAAGGTCATTGTTATTTTAATTAGCTTTGCAATGATCGTAGGCTGGATCGTCGGGCTGATAATCAATGCGTAAACAATATTGAAATATAGTTTACCAGCTTTCAACACGTAAGCAATGTTGCAATTTACTAAATAAACAATGTTAGAACTTTATTGTTTTGTTATATCCTACCTTATTATTAAATCGCTCATGTTTTAAAACTGTGTTTAGTTCACTAGCTGGGTGGGTAACTAGTGGGCATTCAGTATGTTCGAATTTCGATGTCATTTAGGCTTACGTACGGCCTACATTTTCCCCTATAGAGGAGGAGAGCAGACAGTAGTTATACTGGTCAACTTTCAAATTCGGAGAATTTTGATCTGATATTATTCTTCTGGTAGTAGGAATTTTCTTCTTTCAAATAATACTGATGACAAATCATGTACAAATTATTACAATTTCTATAGATCACGTTGTTTATTGTTTACCGTAATTTGAAGAACAACAACCTGCAAAGCGATCCAATACTAAATGGAAGTATAGAAATCACTACCTTGCCGAATTAAGGCTAGTCATGCTAGACCGCATTTACTCTGTTTTTTACTCACTGTTGCTCACAGCTTTTCAACATTTGCCACGAGGTTAACCTTTAACACACTTTACTGTGTTCTGATTGGCGCGTACTCTGACATCTATTAGAATGCTGGCTAAGTTTTATTTTCCATTGGGTTTTCCATGTGACATTCGGTAATTTTACAACCAACGGACGTTAATTCTCCTTTATATTTATTATTTATCTTACTAAATCAAGACTACAAAATATTATTTGATGAACAATCTTTTCACATGTGTGTATTGTAATTGGGGACATCGTTTTTTGACATTTTAAATGAGGTAAAATAATTGTAAATAAAAAATTAAGCTAGGCCTAGGCTAATTAATTTAAAAATTAATACAGCAGTACAAACAAGTTCCTCCCATGAAGTCAAGTGTACGTTTTTCTTATTGAAAAACAGTTCCATACTTTAAATTAACGGTCTAAACTCGTGTTTGCCATTCACATAATTATCAAACAATACATTGTTTATTCCAGTAAGCTACAGCAGTCTTTCTGCACATACAAATAAACAACATGCTTTTGCTTCGTAGGTTCGCTTCGCGTAGCCTTGCTCAGATTGTTTATATCAGGCTACGATGTATCTACGAAGCCTGTGCGCAGGTTAGATTGTTTATATCAGGCTACGATGTATCTACGAAGCCTGCGCGCAGGTAAAAGTGCAATATTTCATGGCGGTACTGTATAGTGTTTACTTATATGCTTTTTAATAAGATTGATATAGTATTTAATGAGTAAAGTGCGATTTTAAAATGTGTTGAAAAACCCGGTGAGCTGAATTTGCGCGCATAAAAAAAACATTAGGAAACCTCCTTTCCAACTTCAAAACACGATCGCTTGATGACCATCAAAGTTAGCGGAATGAATTTTTTTGCATGTTATCAGGCTTTAAACAAGCTTTATTTTGATGTGTAAACGGTCTAAAATTTATGTGTTCATCCACCACAAAAAACAAAATTAGTGAAAAAGTTCGTGTTTTGAGCGATTGTTCATGAACAAAACGGATCGAGAATACCACTAAATTAAAGCTAAATCTTATTTACATATGACAAACTATCATTTGATAACAGATTTTGCATGGTCATCAAGCGAAAACTTTTTGAAATACGGTGAATTTGGGAGTATAATACAGTTGAAAAAATCCGAGACCCCTCCATTGTGTATTCAGTGAAGCTTACTGTACTTACCACAAGCGTATTAATCACTAATCCCTTCAAGGCTACAATCTTTAGGCTACGGGCACACTAGAGCCTGGCTTGACTCACCGTGGGTGAGATTTCAAGCCAGGCTCGATATTCTGGGTCGGTCACACTACCTGAATTTAGTTGGATTGACCTCCAAATTAGGAAAGTCGAAACAGGAAGTCGCGCGCGAAACATTCTTGCGGTCGATCTTTACTTCCTTGGAATCAAATACGAACACATGCTGATCAATTCTATACTTTTTATTATTTCAATTTTACAACAAATTTGAGATCACGCTCAAAATGCACCCGACTTCGTTAATTACTACCGTTGCTGGTTAAGATAATCGATGTAGATCATATAGCTACGGATGATCTAGGCCTAGGCCTAGGCTCGGATGTAATGGCGATACTAGTTTTCGGATTGATAAGTGCATTTATAAATGAAAACTGATGATTCCGTCTTACTATACAGAACTAGCAGGTTTTTTATTCAAGAACTTCTAAACGCAACAGCATCATCGACTGTGATTGGTCAACAGTCGACGAGGAAATGTCAATCCCGGTCACGCCAGGGTCAATCCAGGGTCAATCTGGGTGCTGAGCCGGGATTGAGATACATAGATTGAGATCGAGGTCACGCCAGGTGCGAGTCGATCCAGATGCGGTCACATTACAAAAATCTCACCCGCGGTGAGTCAAGCCAGGCTTGAGACTCCAGTGTGAACGTAGCCTTAGAGAACGGATAAAATGTTATGCATCTTTTTAGCCTAGCCCCAGTCCCTAGGTTGGTCCTAGTGAGTATGATCGCGAAAAGCGCTCAACATAGAACAATGGAGGAGGCCTAGCATGGCGCAACCTAAGCTACATATGGGGTCTATTCTCCTGCTCTTCTCTCATTTTCATTAATTCTTAAACCAGTTAAACTATGGTCAAATTTGAGTTAAATTATCATTTATATTTTTAAAATAATATTAGAATCAGACATTTATTTTTACTTTGTCAAATTTACTGTATAATCGGAGTACATACCCTTTTTTGAGATGACGTTTTCAAAGGCTGTTGAAATAGTTCGATTTTTCTATTTTTGAGACACGCACAAAAAATCGGCACGAAATAGCAACTGACCATACTTAGAGCCATTAAATAAAAAAAACGACATTAAAGAATGACCCCGAAAAAAATACACACATAAAACTCCATAAGATCTTGGGGTTTTGTGAAAATTAGACATTTTATGTTATTACTTTCAAAGTTATGGGCCCCCACCCCCAAAATCAGTCTGGAAAAGGACCCACTTTTTCGCATTTGGACCCCCTTTTTCACCATCTTTAAAGGGCCTTAACTTTTGAACGGTGTATTGGATTATAATAGTTTAAACTGGAAAATGATCAGTGCAGTGAGATCTGTAGATCTAATGTTTACAAAATTCAAAATAATAAAATTCTCATTGGGATACCTATTATTAACAAAAAATACCACCTTTATAAAATAATAAATCCTATTTTGTAAAATTTGTAATATTATACAGTATTGTTTATACTTTTTTTTGTGACATTGTCCATAATTATTAATATTAATTATTACCATTTATAAATACATAATAAATGATGATATCTATGTTTTAATTTTTTTCAATTATGTATAATTATTTACATTATTAATATTACAATAATAATTAAATAAATAACACTACAGGCAAATAAAATAATGTGCTTACTTGTTGAAAAGATGATTGTCAACTTTGACCTTACTGTATGCTTTGAAATCGTCGGACATCAGCATGACCGGAATGTTTATGTGACTCAATTCGTTGATCTGTTGAGGAAAAAATGAAATGCATTGTGCGTTATAACTCATATTTAAAAAAACATTACTGAAATTTCCACCATATGAGAGTTTGAAGCTATTATTATTATTATTATTATTATTACAGAACTATACACGGTTCACATACTTTTTATTATAGAGTTTTGTACTGATGTTTGCAAAGTAATAGTATTTATATATTAGTAATTCCCTATAGGACCTATCGTATAATATAATGACCTGTTGTTCTATTTCTAGTATCCCTCTTTATTACCATTAAAGAATCTTTTGCATTATATCATAATCTTCCAACACATTTTGATTTGATTGACAGGTGTTTTGACAGCCTACATATATACTTAGTTTAAACTTTTATCTATAAAAAAAATCGATGAAGCAAAGCAATAACCCACGCGCACTATTGCTGCATAACAAACTCAATAATTTGTGTTCAAATACAGGATTGTTTTTGTCTTTAATCTATTTTTTTTTTTTTTTCGCTTCAAGGTTCCTTCCATTAGACTACTACTATCAATGTCAATATTGATTAATATTCTGTAATACTGTAGGTGTTTTCAGGCAAAACATACCTCAGCTTGAGCTACAAACCCAATTCACCTGTACTGTATAACCTATCAACTCGCTGTCAATTACAATTATACTTAAGTACCATAGTACTGTACTGTACTGTGCGACACTGTAGCATAGTTAAACTATAGTTAAACTATGCTACAGTGTCGCACAGTACAGTACTGTACTATGGTACTTTAGTATAACCGTGGTAAAACTTATTACTTTTAATTTCCTTTGGAATCTATTGCGATCCGCAGGCGGATCCAGGATTTGTTGGCTGGGTGGCACGAATGGAGCCTATGCTCCAAGGGGAAGGGTTTACTGTAGTGTGTTCTTTTACATAATGTTGGGGTCCAGGGGCTATTCCTCTGAAAGCCTTGCAGTTTTAGCCATTTTCATCTCTTATCAAAATGATCACACTTGGTTTAGTGATTATTTTGGCTGCTGCCAAGGAAGGCAAGAACTGCCCCTTCCACCACTGATCAGGGCTCTCTAACTGGAGGTGGAGTGGTTTTTTTTTGGGGGGAGAGAGGGATTAGGGGATAGTATGCAAGAGTAGCAACAAGAACCTAGTACTGTACTATCCAAGAGTGGCTAGGGTGAGTTACCTATGATCCAAGAGACGAATGCACTGAAAATCAGAGTAAAACACACAATATCACAACATCCTACAGTTTACCAGGCAGGACTACCATTATTACTATAACAGGTGAATAGAGTACCTTACAAAATCCCTTCAGCATAAAGTTGGAACACCCAATAAGGCAAAGTTAGATATAGGCATACATTCTCCTGATGATGTCAGGGTAGCCTCACTGAAATGATGAGACTACTATATTAAAAAATTCAACCAGTGGGTTTTTCTCAAAATCCATATTTGTGGCAAAGACAAGCCAAACCAGTCACTCGTCGCAAAAATTGATTTTGAGTTATTAATACAATGTTAGAGAGTAACATAATAGCTATAAAATGGTAAAAAATCATTCAAATTGGGCATTTCCTTATGAAGTTACAAGCGTTTAACCACACAGCTGTTTAAAGAAAAATATATGAGAAATCAGCCTTCAAAGATTATGATTTCAGGCATTTATCATGCAGAAACTATCTTTAAATCCTTAAAAATTGTTGTTTTAACATTGAAAATGGGAAAGATGACAGCATAGGATGATGTGTAGATATATAAAGGTTAGTTTGACATTCCAGCATGTTTTGGCCATTTCTGAAACACGATTTGCGACGAGTGACTGGTTTGGCTTGTCTTTGCCACATTTTTACATAGGGTGTACTGAAACATTTTTTATGTTTACTATACTTGCCATGCAAACCATAAAGATACATTACATGGTACAGTACAAAAAAGTTTTGTTTGCATCGTCTTGCGTCAGCATTTATTAAGATCATCTCAACAAATGTTCTAAACCTCACCTGTACCTTAAAGCTTTAATGCCACAGTTGGATTGCAAAGCAATTCAATGAGGGTTGCTAAATCCATTGTATATAAAGCAAAATAATAGGTTTTTATGTTTTTCACATCACTGTATACTACAGTAACATATGTCATAGCACTTATTCTATAAGGTCAAGTAAAAAATAAAAGTAGTTTCTTGTCCTAATATTTTGAAAAAAGAAGAATGAGGGAACCTTTTTTCCCCTTTGAGATGGTAAATCCAAGATGGTCAATGGGAAAGAGCTACTACTTTCTCACTTTTACCAAGTAGACACATTGAAGCAAATAAAAGGACTAGACATGATTCATACCATATGTATCGCCAACCACGAAAGATCAAGAGAAAATTTTTTGCTGATGTGAGGTAGACAGATTTTCGTATATTTCTTTAAATAATAGAGGAAATTAAAAAAAAAAAAAAAAAAAAATTGGTGAGGCTGAGAAAATGGATGCCTGAGGAATGAGAAACTAGTAATTTTTTTTATTTGGCCTAAAATGTGTGGAAAATACTGTACAGGTTATGATTTGCCAATATTATTATTGTTGTTAATATTTTAACCTGCCTTGAATTTCCATGTTGTTAAACTGACCATGGTTTTTTACAGTATATATTTTTAATCCTATACTTGCAGACTGGATGTCCAGCCGATAATAAAGTGATTTCAAAATACGTCATGCATGGAGAACTGGTTGCAGATTCTGAGACTAAGGTTGAAAACACTGTTCTAAAGGGAAATATTAAACTTCCATTTAGATCTAACTGATAACAAGTTTATATATATATATATAAAAAAAAAAACAGACAATTGGGTATCACTGTTTGTAGTTAAATTTGGGAATTTAATTAAGAAATACAACACAAGATAGCATCTGCTTTTAGGGATCTTTGTGCCACTGGTTTATTTTGATATTGTACTGTGTTTCCATTACATATTCTTTTTTGAAGTAATAAAGGTACTGAACTTGTCATGACCAGATTGCAGTTGACTTGGCACAGGAAACAGGAGAGTGTAACAAACCTTAGAGCCAGGAAGCTTAACAGCTCACAAAACCATTAGTAGAAAAATCATGGGCAATGCACCACTCAAGGGAATAGAATTGTTTACAGTTTGAAACACACTAGTTTCTGTGTATACATCCATCGAAATATAGAAACGAATTATTGATAAACAAAGAAATACTATATTATTATATATATAATTTCATTAGGATTATTAGCATTTATGATGTGCTTCAGGACTGTGTGTGGACAGGACTTTTAACATTTATCTAAAGAGAATAGCGAAATAAAATATATTTTCCAAAATCATTACCAAAAAGCAGGTAGGCTGAAGAAAAATATTAAATATAATTTTAGTGACAAAGTAATTGAGGAGGCCCTTTCCAAGGCTCAAAATCAAGCTCAAAATCCCATCACATTATAGAATTAAAAATATGATCTGATGTGAACAGATCAAATATCTTTCTTATAGTCAGTTTATATCAAAATATTGTAATTGTAACAATGCGTGACCAAACAAATCAGTCAATTTTTTCCGAAGGCTCTTAGTAAACAATGATTGACAAACAAATCGACATGAATTATGAAATTACTGTTACACTTTCTGTAATCTATTTCATATGATCCACCAAACAAATGTTGGAATTGCAGTCAATCTATTTTTGATTTTGACAGCCAATTATAACTAAACATACAGCAGCATAATATATTCATTTGTTTTCTGTATCGCCTGCTGTCTGGTAAAGTCATGATGTGGTTTGTTAATAATAAATACAAGTAATTTAAATCTGTCTTTTTTTTGCCACCACAAGTCTGCCTCCTACAACCACTATTATTTCCTATCTACTGTGAAAAATATTGCTTTTGGACACAATTGTTTATCAAGCAAGTCAATGCCTGAATAGTAAATCACACTGTGATACTTATTAATTGATTCTTCTCCTACTGTACCTGTACTATTGATTATTAATTACTTGCTTTAAATATGCTTTCATGGACTGTTTAATTTAAATCCTTGAATAAGCGCTGTGGCGCAGTTTTGGAGACTTCAGTGCGGCGCTTATTTGAGAGCAGTGCTTATTAAAAAATATCGGCGTGGCGCGTTCCATGCCCGTTCCCATGTTACCTATCTCACCTATTCCCGTAGGTCGGTAGGCCTATCAGAGGCCCTACATCTTTGTAAATACATAAAGATATGCTAGTGTCTTAATAGACACATTATACATTGTATTTAAAACTCTGTTTCTCAAAGTGTTTCACTACATACAGGGTAATATGTATTTTCGATTAAGCGCTGCTTAATTCAAGATAAAATATTGAATAAGCGCAGCAGTGCCAAGAGCGGCGCTTAACGAAAAAAATCATGTTTGGTGTGGCACTTAATTGAGAGTGGCACATATTCAAGAGCGGCACTTATTCAAAAGCGGCACTTATTTGAGAATTTACTTTTTTCTTTAGCACTACGATCTTTGATGTAAGGGTGCTATATAAATACAGAGCATGTACTGTATGTATAATATTGTTTCATGGTTTATGTTATTGGTTTCATAGTATTGGTTTCCATGATAATGTCTAATTAGAACTATCAAATAAATTTATTAGCACAATATTTTCTTTTAAATTTCTTTGCGTTTTAAAAATCTGATGGAATAAATTTTGTTTGCTACCATCTGATAGGCTTAGCATTTTACATGTTCTCACTGGCCTAATCTATAATAGGGCCTACATCATGCTGGCACTAATGCACTTTCGCACCTAACATCTGCAGCCCCTGGCCCCGCGGGCACCACCCCTGAATGCTAAACTTTGGTTCGATTAACTTTGATTATGACATGAAAGTTCAAAAAGATGGTACCACGTAATGATGCCACATTTTGTTGACGGATATTTCATGGGAAAATTCAGATTTAAATTTTAAGACTGGCCTATAGTTTCAAAATTTAAGAATTGACTCGGGCATTCTAGCAATTTCTTACTTGATTGCAAAGCAGCAAAATAGTAGTATACAGCTTGTCGTGCTAGCAATCGCGGAAACGCTGGATCAACCTCTATAAATTTATAAAGGTAATTTTTTCTGTTGAAAAATGTACTTTGTGAGTGGTTGAATCATGTAAAAATGTTTTTTAATTATGTGTTGTAACTGTGAGAAGAACATTGAGGTAAAAAAAAAATTAAGAATTAAAAGTTAGGCGCAAAAGTGTATTAGCGCCCATCATGTGTACAATTACATTCTCACAGACTGGAGTAGGATAGGCCTCGCCTAGACCAGGCCTAGGCCCTAGCATTGAATTGTAGCAATATTTTTACTGCTGCATCTTTTAAATTGTAGGAAGTGGATATATTCACGTCGCCGTAAACAAATTTATTTATTTATATATTATATATTTACGTAAATGAAACAACGCATGCGCAGTCATACTTTGATAAACTTGCATTTTCAGCACTACGTGGCCTCCAAGCCGCGGGGATTCCCCCAAGTTCACCACGGCACTACTTAATTTATAATTTTGTTTTTTATTTTTTATTAAACGTAATTTAATTTTCTACAACAGCACAGTATGTAGTTTAATCACTCAATAAATTATTAAATCATTACTTTTCAAATAAAAGTGATATTATGAGCTGGAAATGTTAATGTTCATTTTACTCAATCATTTGTTGAATGAATACACTTGACCTAAATACAAGGCCTAGGCCTACGCGAGGTTTCTTTGATAAAACTTGATTACCACGAAATCAAGACGATATTCTTCTAAGCCTACCTGTATTGTTATACGATAGTCAATCATCACAAATTAAATAACATCTTAATGTTTTCATTCAAAAAAATTTACCCACGTCGTCACTAACAAAAACAACATCGTTATATGAATAAAGCAGTAAACAACGAATAATAATATGCGTGTGTTTTCTGTAAGATATTTAATCATTACGAAAAAGTGAGACTCCCTGGTAAGACAAATATTTTTAATGTTTATTCAAACATATTTTCCCATGTAGTCTGATCACTAACAAAACAACATTGGCATGCTGTGCATGTGTCTACGAAGTATGGATGCAGAACGTGGAATAAAAACAGCTCCGCTGTGAGAAAGTGAAACGAATACTTCTAGCACATTATCACAATAATTCAATTATTTTATTTAATTGAAATACATAGGCTACTTCTGTAGTAAATTTAATTACGTTTAGTCAGAACGGTACAATTATAATTTAAATACTGTACCTATCCGCTAGCCTAAACTGTTTACGAAAATTCATACAACCAATTTGGGGATTCCCCATGTGCGTTGATTTGCGATTCCATTGTGTGTTGTTCAATGGGTTTTTAAAGAGTAGAAACCATTTGTTTTTACAAGAAAAATTGTTATGTCAAGTTAATGTATTTTAACATGACTATATTCAAGAAGATTTGATTTTCGTGCACCGTGGATTCATGGTACTGTATTCAGCAAAAGGTCGATGCTAATTTGGAGTCTGAAAGTTGAACTCCGCGTTAACGTACATTTAACGTGAATCGATAAATTTACGTGATCGACAATGCAAGTTCATTAAAGTATGACTGTGCATGCATTGTTTCATTGACGTAAATATATCATTTACTGATTTGTTTACGGCAACGTAACCTAGGCTAGGCCTATCCAGTTCCTAAATTGTATTTACCATATAGGCATAGCCTAGGCCTAGATAGGAGGCTAGGCTACAACAATCATTCAAAATATGTTGAAATATTTATTTAACTGATATCAGTCAGCCTTTAATGATGAGATCAGGTGATGAGAAGGCTAGGCCAAGCTAGGCTAGGCTAGGCCATGGCACTGAAAGGCGTACGTACGCCACACCCAACCTGATGTAGCAGGCGAACTTACCGAGTGGTTTATGCCCCACATCAAAACAGACAGAAGTGGATCGCTTGCTCGAAAGAGCTTTACTTTCTGCGATACAGCTTTGATGTGCTTCTTCTTCATGTTTTTTAATCCCTGCGACATGGCGCAGACCTTATTGATGTTCACACAATACGATAAATCAGGAAAAACACTAGCGTTGAACTCCTCACAACTAGGCCTAGGCTAGAACAATTTAATTGTTTTTGTTTTCTCAGCTGTGATACACCCTTTCTTTAGATTTTGCATGAAGCTCAAGATGGCAGCGTCCGTAGATAAATTACCCACAATACACATTTCAGAATACTGCCATCAATTGTTTATAAAAAGTTTTCCCTCTCCCGTCGACCAGCACCCACTTGGACTTTAGTCGGTGTCACTCACAAGACCGGCTAACACATAAGGAGAAAACAATTCATATTTTATTGGGGAAAAGGTAAAAATATGCCAATCCAGTGGAGGCAAACGCAAGGAATTCAGCAATTTAGACTAAACATATAAGGTGTAGTAGGTGGCGCCATACGAAAATTTGCTATGAGCCATCACGTTGTATGAAGTTAAAGTGAAGTGAAGTCAAGTGGTCTTACCCGTACTGATGTGATAAGAGATTCAACAGTAGGTTTGATTATTTGTAATTTTGTTTCATGCTACACATACATGGTGCAACACTCTTTAAATAAATTGCCTAATTAGGCAACGATTAGGCCTGCAATTTTATCTGAAGAATGTTGCACCATACTGTGTAGC